CCGGATGCTTCCTGTTCCATCTCCACTGCCCTCCCTATTCAACCGTCTAGTGTGTGTGTGTGTGTGTGTGTGTGAGAGAGAGAGTGTGTGCGTGTGTGTGTGTGTTTGAACACAAAAATATACTCACAAGGGACCCCATCTCGTGTCTTGATGATTTTGTTCTTGTTCTGCCAAGTATGGTTTCTACTGGTATACCACATCACATAGATGAACATAAAGCAAAGTTGCAAAGTTGTTTTTATTAAATAAACCAGATTGGGGCTGGGAAGGTGGCTCAGTGGTAGAGCGCTTGCCTTGCATGCCTGAGGCCCTGGGTTGGATTCCTCAGCACCACATAAGCAAAAAGGAAAAAAAGCCGGAAGTGGCGCTGTGGCTCAAGTGGTAGAGCGCTAGCCTTGAGCTGAAGAGCTGAGGGACAGCGCTCAGGCCCAGAGTTCAGGCCCCACAACCGGACCCAAAAAATAAATAAATAAACCAGATATGCTAGAGCTCATACCTATAATCCTAGCCACTCAGGAAGCTGAGATCTGAGGATGCAGTTTGAAACCAGCTCAGGCCGGAAAGTCTATGAGATTCTATCTCCAGTCAATCACAGAAAAAAACAGAATTGGCACTGTGGCTCAAGTGGTACAGTGCTATCCTTTAGCCAAAAGGAGTCCAGGGACAGTGCCCAGGCCCAGGACTAGCAAAAGAAAAAAGGTGTATAACTCAGTGGAAGAACATTTGCTTAGCACGTTCAAAAATTTACATTTAAATGTTCAGACATTTTTTTGTGGTGATGGCAAGAGGTCCTGGAGCTAGTTAAGCACTCTGAGACTGAGCTGCATTACCCAGACCCTCGCTAGTTTTTTATTTTTTTTATTTTTTATTTTTTTGTCGGTTGTGGGGCTTGAACTCTGGGCCTGAGCGCTGTCCCTCAGCTCTTCAGCTCAAGGCAAGCGCTCTACCACTTGAGCTACAGCGCCACTTCCGGTTTTCTGGTGGTTTATTGGAGATAGGAGTCTCACGGTCTTTCCTGTCTGGGCTGGCTTTGAACTGCGATCCTCAGATCTCAGCCTCCTGAGTAGCTAGGATTACAGGCGTGAGCCACCAGCGCCTGGCTTAGTTTTATTTTTTTGAGCCTACACCAAGGCTTGAACTAAGGTCCTTTCCTTTTCACTGTGCTTTTTGTTCATTACTACAGCTGAGCCACTGAAGCCATGCCTCCAGGCTGGCATTTTTGCTGGAAAGAGTCTCCTGCCTGGCCTGGCTTCAAACTACCATCCTCAGATCTCAGCCTCCTGAGCAGGCAGGATTACAGGTGTGAGCCACTGGCACCTAGTGGTATTAGAGTTTTAACTCCAGGCATTTATCACACAGACACTCCAACCCTACTAGGCATTTGATTTATTTTATCTATTTTTTGGTCGGTTGTGGGGCTTGAATTCTGGGCCTGGGTGCTGTCCCTCAGCTCTTCAGCTCAAGGCAAGCGCTCTACCACTTGAGCCACAGCGCCACTTCCAGTTTTCTGGTGGCTACTTGATAAGAGTCTCAAGGACTGGTCTGGGAAGGTGGCTCAGTGGTAGAGCGCTTGCCTTGTATGCATGAGGCCCTGGGTTCAATTCCTCAGCACCACATAAGCAAAAAGAAAAAAGCCAGAAGTGGCGCTGTGGCTCAAGTGGTAGAGCGCTAGCCTTGAGCTGAAGAGCTGAGGGACAGCGCCCAGGCCCAGAGTTCAGGCCCCACGACCAGACCCCCCTCAAAAAAAAAAAAAAGAATCTCAAGGACTTTCCTGCCTGGGCTGGCTTGGAACCATGATTCTCAGGTCTCAGCTTCCTTTGTAGCTAGGATTACAGGCATGAGCCACCAGTGTCTAGGCTTTAAGTTTTCATATTTTTAAGGCTTTGTGTGCTAGGGCTTGAACCCAAGGCCTCAAGCATACTAGGCAGGCATCCTATTGTAGCTGTAGGGTTGGGGTTTTTTGTTTTTATATTTGCTGGTCCGGGGACTTGAACTCAACTGGGCACTGTCCCTGAGCTGCTTATATACTTTTCTTCCTAGGCTGACTTCAAACTATGATCCTCAGATCCCGGCCTCCTGAGTAGCTAGAATTACAGGTAAAAGCCAACAGCACCCTAGTGGTTTTTATCCAAGAAAATGATCTGGGTAAAATAAAAGTGGGGTGGGGTCTAGTATTTGTCTCTCTTCCATCCTTCCATCTCCACCCTGTTGCCAGCTTGGGTAGACCTGGGCCCATGTGACACTTTTTCAAAGTCCCCAGATGTAGCTGGAATTATTTCTGGGCTATGACACTATATAGTTTTAGATTTTCTCTCCTCGGCTTGCCTGGACACAGTCAACAGCCTGCTTGTAGAACATAGATACCAAAGCATCCCTTCCTCCTGCCCCACCCCAGCATGTGGGGAGTCTGATTCAAGTTGGTTGGGGTGTGTCTGGAATCTATTTCTAATGAGCATCCCACGTGCTCACGTCTCAGCTGCTAAGACAAACCCTAGTTAAAGACATATCTGGGGACTGGGGTAAAGTTCAGTGGAAGAGTGCCTGCTTGGCACCTTCATGCGGCCTTGGGTTCCATCCCCAGCATTCAAATAATGGGCGAAACAAAAAAAAGTGCAGTCCTCTTTAATTTCAGCTTTCTATGTTGAATACAGAAGTTAATACATTCACATGGTTCCAAACACAACAAGGAAGGGCTGTTCTCCCCCGTTTCCAGGTCCCCAAGTTGGCCATTATTACCAGTTTATCGTCCCCATTTAGTGACATACATAAACAAGCCCACTTTCTCCCTCCATACACTTCTCCAAAACTAAGTGGTAGCCCTGCATGCTCACTCTTCTATACCTTAAGAACAGATAGATTCAAGTTCAGCCATGGTGTCAGCCTAGAGACTTACGACGCTCCCTGGGCCTCAGTTTCCTCTACAATGCCATAATAGGAAGACTCTTAGTGGGTTATGGGGGCATCATGGGAGAGGAGACAGATGAAGCTGCCAACTGGGCTAGTACAGAGTAAGCACCTAGCAACTGGAAATCCTGCCAGTGGCCTGGCCACTTCCTAGTGACAGGTATAGATGGGGCACCATGCACTGAGCCAGGCCACCATATTTGGTTTAGGGAGCAGAGAGAACCTCACTATACCGTCAGTGAGCCTTGTAGAGCCTTTTCTATGCACCAGGCTTTACAAGAAACAGGATCCCATGCTTTCCCTGCCATCGCTTAACCTTGAGTGAATAGCTCCTTTGTGGCATTTTTACATTTTAGCATTTTTAGCAGTATTCTTGCTCTCCCGCCACTAAATACCCACTGCAGCCATGACCAACTGGGACAACCAAAGGTGTCTCCAGACATTACCAAATGTCCCTTGGGCCCCCCCCCCACACACACACACACAATCACACCTGGTTTAAAACTACTGCTTAATTTCATCCATTACATTAACCAACCACGATAACCAGAAGCCTTGAGGTAATTCATATTACAAGACCGGATGCCTAGAGAACATAATGCCACCAAGGTTCCCAGCAACACTATCCTACTGATAGGCAAGCATTCCTCTTACCTCACAGGAATGCCAAGGAGAACATCATTCTGCAAAACTCTCCACAGTACCTGAATTCACAACCTTGACGCATTCTGTTGTATTTGGTAACAGCATACCTGTGGAGTCCCCTCTGTCCCATTTTACAGATGGAAAACTGAGACCACTTGCTTAGGGCTTCACTGTAAATCATGAGTTCTCACCAGGTGCTGGCTCATACTACTTGGGAGGCTGAGATCTGAGGATCTATGGTTCAAAACCAGCCAGGTGCTGGTGACTCACAGCTATAATCCTAGTTACGCAGGAGGCTGATATCTGAAGATCTCAAAGCCAGACCAGGCAAGAAAGTCTGTGAGACTTATCTCCAATCAACCACCAGAAAACGAAAAATGGCTCAAAGTGATAGATTGCTAACCTTGAGCAAAAAGAGCCCAGGGACAGTGCACAGGCCCTGAGTTCAAGCCACACGACGAACCAAACCAAAACAACAACAAACAAAACAGCTCAGGCTGGAAAGTCCATGAAAGACTTTTCCCCAATTAATCACAAAAAGCTGAAGTGGAGCTAATGGCTCAAGTGGTAGAGCTGCAGCCTGGAGCAAAAAAGCTCCAGGATAGCACCCAGGCCCTGAGTACAAACCCCAGTACCCGCTTGCGCGAGCACATGCACATGCACGCGCGCTCACACACACACACATGCATGCACGCACACACACAGGAGTTATCAGCCCCTAGGGAGCTTTATGAAAATCCAAGCCTCACCCCAGACAGATGGACATGGAATTGAGCACCTGCAAATTTGAGAGCTTCCATAGAATTCCAAGGTTTTGAGCTGAGAAGGTGGGCCTAGCTTAAATCTTGGCCAATGAGATGCAGATTTGATCTGTTCTTGGCTAGCTCAGAGATTAGAGACCTGGAGCCATCTACTCCACCCTGCCTGTGTCCTGGAAAACCCAGGTAGCTTCTGCCTGCCATCTTTCTGAGCCAACCTACCCCTGCTCAGCATGGGCCCTGGGTTCAGGCCACCAGACTGCTGCTTTATTCTTATGAGCTACGTCCAGTACAGGTCTTGGGATGAAGAGGTCTCCCCCCCCCTCCCCCGCAAGACTAGCTGAGGAGAGACGCACCTCACTAGCAAAGAATGACTTAGTGCTAGGACAAGTGAGGTACCATCCGAGGATGCCAAGGGCGTGCCCAGAGCTGCCCCACCGGTCTGAGCAGTCGGGTGACAAGGGCTTGAGGTTTCTCCTTCACCTTGGTGCGCTCTGCAGGGGGTGAGGATGATGGTAGAGTGGATTCCGAAGACACTGGATCTCTGCCCTTCCCCCAATGCCTCATGCCCACCTCAGGAGGAGCTATGGCTGCACTCTCTCCACTGGACAGTTGTGCCAATGGAGGCCTAGGACCCACTGCCTCGCTCAGGGCATTATGGGAGAGCAGACCACCTGATTCCACCTACTGCCTACCCTGGGAGGCACACCGTGCAAATGGGCAAATCTGGTGTGCACTGGTCTTCGGGGGACATCGATTTCAAGAGGAAGAACTAAGAAGGATCAGCTGGATCACAGGAGACAAGCCCTTTCTGGTCTTGCCCCCACAAGACTTTGGGGATCTATGTTGTTCCAAGTTCCAGAGCTACCTAGGCCTCATCAGAGGTGGCAAGTGTGCCCACCTCCTCACCAGGCATCATTGTTCTTCCTCTGTCTTCTTAAACGTAGCCAAGGCTTCCTCCAGCACACCGTCAGGATCTAGGAGTTTGATCTGGAGGGAAGTGGCAGGGCTTGGTTTGGGGAGCAGGAAGACTCTGCTCTCTTGAAGGGAATAGCCTACCTACAAACAGAACCTCCTCCCTTCCCTGGCCAGGTGAGGGGGGGGGAGGGGGGGACTGGTTCTTTCTTCCTGGGGGTATGGCTTCAGGGCCCTGGGAAGCAGCCCACCTCAGGAATGGGGAACTGGGTGGGCTCAGGAGCCTCTTCCCGGCCAAAGTCGATCATGGTGCCACACTTAGCCACATCATCCACCCAGAAGCCTTCAAACAGCTGGCCATGATCCAGGTGAAAGAAACGCCCAGGCCCATTCTTCATGCCTCTCTCCCAGAAGCCCTCGAAGCGGTTCCCATTCTCTGAGGAAAAGATAGGGACATAGGTGCTGGGCATACCAAACCAGCCGGGACTGACATGCTGGGCATATACCAGGTCTCCTTTGTGTACTAGCTGGTGAAATGGTCCTTGCTTGTCAGGCCTGTCCTTGTCAGTCTCCACTGGAAACATAAACCTCATCCAATCTCCCCATCACCCCAGAAGCCAAATTTTTTTCTTTTCTTTTCTTTTTTGTCAGTCATGGGGCTTGAACTCTGGGCTTGGGCGCTGTCCCTGCACTCTTCAGCTCAAGGCAAGTCCTCTACCGCTTGAGCCACAGTGCCACTTCCGGTTTTCTAGTGGTTTATTGGAGATAAGAGTCTCACGGACTTTCCTGCACGGGCTGGCTTTGAACCTCGATCCTCAGGTCTCAGCCTCCTGTAGCTAGGATTACAGGCGTGAGCCACTGGCGCCCGGCTCATTTTATTTTTTCATGGGTCCTTGAGCCTGCCGGGCAAGTGTTCTACCACTGAGCCACACTCCCAGCCCCCTCCCCAGCTCCTCTTTCTTCAAATGTCACCTCCTCAAGGAGGCATTCTTTGATTTCTCTGACCTTAGTAGACCCTACCTCCAACTCCTTTATTATACTTTTTTGTTTTCTAGTAATTCTATAGCTTTTTCTTTTTTTTTTTAAGACAGGTCTCCCTATGTATCCCAGCCCACATTCATGCCTCTACCTTTCCTGTGCAAGGATTATCAGCATGCACTATTTTTTTTTTTTTTTGGGGGGGTCTGGTCGTGGGGCCTGAACTCTGGGCTTGAGCACTGTCCCTCAGCTCTTCAGCTCAAGGCTAGCGCTCTACCACTTGAGCCACAGTGCCACTTCCAGCTTTTTTCTTTTTGCTTATGTGGTGCTGAGGAATCGAACCCAGGGCCTCAGGCATGCAAGGCAAGCGCTCTACCACTGAGCCAACTTCCCAGCCCCAGCATGCACTATTGAAGCAGGACTCCTTGGCATTTTTAACCATGTCTGAGAGCCTGGATGACTTTATCTTCCTGTGCCTCAGATAGTACAATCAAGATGATGAAAGCATCAGATTTATAGGATTGTTGGAGCTTGACTAGGGTCGGTATGATGGCTATTAGGACTGTAAGAAATTCTTCTGTTTTTGTTTCTTGTCAGTCATGGAGCTTGAACTCCTGGGGCCTGAGTGCTGTGCCTGATCTTATTGCTCAAGGCTAGCACTCTACTTCTTTGAACCACAGACCACTTCTGGTGTCAGGCTAACACTCTACTTCTTTGAACCACAGACCACTTCTGGTGTCTGGTTTTCTGGTGGTTCATTGGAGATAAATCTCACGGGGACTTTTCTGCCTGAGCTGGCTTTGAACCGCGATCCTCAGATCTCAGCCTCCTGAGTAGCTAGGATTACAGGCTTGAGCCACCAGCGCCCTGCTTGATTAGAGCATTTTTACCGCTCATGGAGAATCGCTTTGCCCGGGACGCGGTAATGAGTGTGCACCGTAGCCATGCCTGCCAACAAGTGTGGTCTCGAGAGCCGCGGGGGAGGTGGGAGCGGGCTAATAGAGGACCTGGGATGGGCGGGGCGATCAGGGATCGAGGGCGTGGTCTGCAGAATGGGGCGGGACAACTCCGTGTGGGCGTGGCCTTCTGGTGGGCGGGGCACTTACTGTGTCGCAGCATGCCCTCCCCTTCGTGCTTGTCCTTGCTCCACTGGCCCTCGTAGATGTCGCCGTTGCCATAGTACACGCGGCCCCACCCGCTGCGCTGGTTGTCACGCCACTCACCCTCATAGTACTCATTGGGGCCAAAAAACTGAATTCCATAGCCCTGAAAAGCACGAAGGCGCCCTGTTCACGACCTCCTGCACCCCCAGGAGGGCCGATCTCCCCAGGCCCCGCCCCACTCCACCCCCACGCCCCACCCCAGCCTCCTGAGCCTCCGCCCTCCCGAGGACCAGCACCACGTCCTGAGTGATCCCATCCATCTGCTACAGCCCCCATCGGTTCCCCTTCCCCTCAGGTCCCCTCCTCTCACGCCTGCTCCCATGCACTCACCAGAGAGCAGCCGGTGTGTGTGTGTGTGTGTGTGTGTGTGTGTGTGTGCGCGCGCGCGCACGCACACACGCGCGCTGGGGCTTAAACTCGGGGCATCTATGTTTGCTGAGCAACTTGCTCTACCACTTGAGCTATGCCCCCAACCCCTTTTGACTTTAATTATTTTTCCTACAGAATCTGCATTTCTGCCACAGGCTGGACACAGACTGGGATCCTTCCCTCTACCTATGCTTCCCAAGTCATAGGGATTACAGGCATTGATGGTACCTGGCCCAGAAGGCTCTTTTCTTGTTGGTGGTGGTGGTCCTGGATATTGAACTCTGGGCCTGGGCACCGTCCTTGAGCTCTTCAGCTCAAGGCTAGCACTCTACCACTTGAGCCACAGCGCCACTTCCAGCTTTTTCTGTTTATGTGGTGCTGAGGAATCAAACCCAGGGCCTCAGGCATGCGGGGCAAGCACTCTACCACTGAGCTACCTTCCCAGCCCCTCAGAAGGATCTTTAATAGCTCCAGTAGTCACATTTGCCTCTGACACACATCCAACTCTGATTTGACCCTGCTGTGGTCATGCTGTCTCTGAGCTCCCACACTGGGTGACCATCACCAGGAATCAGGGACTGCTGGAGATCACACCTCTGGCAGGATCAGTTTAGGAGCCCTAATCTACTCCTCAATATCCTGACCGCGAAGCCCCCACTACTTTCCTCCTTCCATCCTTCCCTCCCTCCAAACAGCATTTTGCTGTTCAGCTGTTTGATATCTCATTGCTATTTGCCACCAATCCTCCTTTTACTATTTCTCCCTGGCTAACTCCTAGGATATTTTGGGGTCACTTCCTACAGGAAGCCAGCCCTATAATCTTTAGGCTGTCCTTAATGACATTACTTTGGATACCACAGGAAAACTACTATCGTAATTCCACATTATATTAGTGTGGGATCAATTTTCCCACTGGCTGATAAATAATTTGGCAGCAAGGCACAAGAAATCTTGGGCTCAGCTGCATGCCAGCTGTGTGACTCCAGGGCAAGTACTTCACCTCTGAGGGCTTGCTTTTATATCCATAAAATGGGATGGTGATTATGCTAAATTGTTGTAAAAGTTAATTCAAGTATCACATGCGCATTCTGGGCGCACAACAGAAACTGCTCAGAAGCAATACAGTTATTCTTCTCAGTCTGGATGGACAAGGGTAAGGCTTCATCCAAGTGGGTAAGAGTAACTTGAGGGGATCTGTGCTTACCATAGGTGTTTGGGGGCTAGGACCTGCCTCTGGCTGGGTTCAACTCTCTCCCTTCCTCTCTTGTTCTCTCTTGTTCTTTTTTGGGGGGTCTGGTCGTGGGGCCTGAACTCTGGGCCTGGGCGCTGTCCCTCAGCTCTACAGCACAAGGCTAGCGCTCTACCACTTGAGGCACAGCACCACTTCTGGCTTTTTTCTTTTTGCTTATGTGGTGCTGAGGAATCGATCCCAGGGCCTCAGGCATGCAAGGCAAGCACTCTACCACTGAGCCACCTTTCCAGACCAGGATTTTGGTTTTTAAATTTTTAATTTTTTTGGGGGGGGGGACAGGGTCATGCTACATAGCCCAGGCTGGCCTGGAACTCACCCTTCTTGGTTTTCCCAGTGTTAGGATTATAGACTCTGCCAACCATGCCTGGCTACTTTCCCATTTTACCCAATAGAAGGTGGGGTGGGGATGGGTTGGCGGGGGGAGGCTTCTGGGAAAGGAATGCCTGGGGAAAGAAAGCCAGGAAATGAGGGAAGAGGGTGGAGGAGAACTCACTCCACAGCCTGCTGCCTTCTTGTGGCCATAGGTTACACAGGCTCCTCCCTGGGCCCCACTACTCTTGCTTCTTATTTCCTTGGTTTTGTTCTGAGAAGCCTTGACAATTCCTCCACCCTTCCTTTCCAACCTGCCCCGGGAGCTGGGCCTTCTAACACACATATGAATGTCTCCCTTACACACATACAACATGGATGTACATTCTCTCTCTCTGTCAGCTCCTTTTCTTGCTCCCTCCCTCCCTCCCTCCCTTCCTCCAGCAGAAACAGGCTGTCAACCCTGCCCCTGGAAGGGCATGCTGGAAAGCACTCACCGATTTCTTACCACCTGTCCACCAACCACAGTAGACTCTCTTGTACTTTCCTGTCTCTGGATCTGGAAGGCTGAGGGTGCCATAGCCATCTCTCTTCCCCAATTTCCAGTCCCCTTCGTAGATGGCTCCATTCTTCTTCCAGACCTGTGTTCCTTTCCCTGGTGACACACAGAGGTGAGCCAACACCTCAGACACAGTCAGTTTAGGCTGGAGGCCAAGTTCCTGCCCAGGCCTCAGGGACCCCCTACAGGGGGTCTGAGCTCCATCTTTAGGAGCATTCCATAAGGAGCAATTTTCCAACCCACTGCCCTAAAGCCTGATACCAATTAGAAATCACCAAAAACACCACCCAGTAATCCTAACTACTCAGGAAGCTGAGATCTGAAAATTGCAATTTTTTTTTTTGGTTGTGGGGCCTGAATTCTGGGCCTGGGTGCTCTCAGTTCTTTTTTTTGTGTGTGTGTGGGGGGGGGGGCGCGTTGGTTGTGGGGCTTGAACTCTGGGCTTGGGCACTGTCCCTGCACTCTTGAGCTCAAGGCCAGTGCTCTACCGCTTGAACCACAGTGCCACTTCCGGTTTTCGAGTGGTTTATTGGAGATAAGAGTCTCACAGACTTGGGGCTGGGAAGGTGGCTCAGTGGTAGAGCACTTGCCTTGTATGCCTGATTCCTCAGCACCATATAAGCAAAAAGAAAAAAAGCCCGAAGTGGCGCTCTGGCTCAAGTGGTAGAGCACTAGCCTTGAGCTGAAGAGCTGAGGGACATCACCCAGGCCCAGAGTTCAGGCCCCACGACCGGACCCAAAAAAAAAAAGAGTCTCACAGACTTTCCTGCATAGGCTGGCTTTGAACCTCAATCCTCAAGTCTCAGCTCCTGAGTAGCTAGGATTACAGGCCTGAGCCACCGGCGCCCGGCTTGATGCCCATCAGTTCTTTAACTCAAGGCTAGAGCTCTTCCACTTGAGCCACAGCACCACTTCTGGCTTTTTCTGCTTAGGTGGTGCTGAGGAATCGAACCCAGGGCCTCATGCATATAAGGCAAGCACTCTACCACTGAACCACCTTCCCAGCCCCTGAGGATTGCAATTTGAAGCCAGTTCTGGGTAAAAAGTTTTAGAGACTTTCTAGTTATCTCCAATTTTGAATTATCCAATTTTCTTAATTATCTCCAATTAAGCAACAACTACAAAAACAAGCCAGAAGTGTAGCTGTGGTTCAAGTAGTAGAGTTCTAGCCTTGAGCAACAAATCTCAGGGGAAAGCCTGAGTTTAAGTTCCAAGACCAACACACACACACACACACACACACACACACACACACACACACACACACGTGTGTATACATATATATATATATGTATGTATGTATGTATGTATATAGCTGCGCCAGTGGCTCATGCCTGTAATCCTAGCTACTCAGGAGGCTGAGATCTGAGGATCGCGGTTCAAAGCCAGCCCAGACAGGAAAGTTCAAGACACTTATCTCCAATTAACCACCAAAAAAAGAGAAGTGGAGCTGTGGCTCAGAGTGGTAGGGCTCAGAATTGAGGGGAAAAGCTCAGGGACAGCGCCCAGGGCCTGAGTTCAAGCTCCACAACCCACAGAAAATAAGTCATTTCTTCTTCCCTATGGCAACACTGAGAAAGGCATCACCACTGCCTCCAGCATTTTTTTGCTCGTCTGTAGAAAAGGAATCTTGACCCTGGTTAGATAGGAGAGCATGTGACTGGGCTGGCTAGTCGGAGTCTTTTTCTTGGGAGACTGATGGATTGACTGCTGATTAGCAGTTCCAGGGAGGGGATCAAACGAGGGCCTGGAATGTATGTGCCAGACAAGCACGCTAGCACTGAGCTATAACCCCAGCTCTTGGATTATTTTTTTTTTTGAGGAAGGACAGTTTTATTATTTTCATGTACAGAGAAATCAACATTGCACACTTAGCCCAGCTTCATGGCCAGCTCCTTAGCCTTTGCCTTTTCCAGCTTGGCAATTCGAGCCACAGATTTTGGACCCAGGACATTGCCTCCCCAGTGATGGCGGATCTCATCATATCTGTCATTGTAATTGGTAAAGCTTTTGGATTTTTGTTGGGGCTTGAACTGTGGGCCTGGGCGCTGTCCTTCAGCTCTTTAGCTCAAAATGAGCACTCTACCACATTAGCCATAAAGCCATTTCCGGTTTTCTGGTAGCTAATTGGAGATAAGAGTCTCCTGGAGGGGCTGGGAAGGTGGCTCAGTGGTAGAGCGCTTGCCTTGCATGCCTGAGGCCCTGGGTTCGATTCCTCAGCACCACATAAGCAAAAAGAAAAAAGCCGGAAGTGGTGCTGTGGCTCAAGTGGAAGAGCGCTAGCCTTGTGCTGAAGAGCTGAGGGACAGTGCCCAGGCCCAGAGTTCAGGCCCCATGACCGGACCCAAAAAAAAAAAAAAAAAAGAGTCTCATGGACTTTCCTGCCTGGGCTGGCTCTGAACTGTGATCCCCAGATCTCAGCCTCCTGAGTAGATAGGATGACAGCCATGAGCCACGAGTGCCTGGCTTGGATTTTTAAAAAGTAGAGCCAAGTGGGGCTAGGAAGGTGGCTCAGTGGTAGAATGCTTGCCTTGCATGCATGAGGCCCTGGGTTCAATTCTTCAGCACCACATAAGCAGAAAAAAGCCAGAAGTGGTGCTGTGGCTCAAGGAGTAGAACTCTAGTCTTGAGCTGAAGAGCTGAGGGACAGCGCCCCGGCCCAAAGTTCAAGACCCAGGACCAGCAAAAAAAAAAAAAAGGGGCTGGGAAGGTGGCTCAGTGGTAGAGCACTTGCCTTACATGCCTGAGGCCCTGGGTTTGATTCCTCAGCACCACATATGCAAAAAGAAAAAAGCCAGAAGTGACGCTGTGGCTCAAGTGGTAGAGCGCTAGCCTTGAGCTGAAGAGCTGAGGGACAGCGTCCAGGCCCAGAGTTCAGGCCCCACAACTGGACCCAAAAAAAAAAAAAAAAAAGTAGAGCCAGGTGCTTGTGTCCCATTTCTTGGGGGGGAGGAGGGGGCATTTAAGCTTCTAATTAGCTCTGGGACCCTGCTCCTCTGGCCCTATCACTAATGGCTCCAGTCCCTCACTGGCTGCCTCCTGCTCCATCTGACCTCCAGCCCTGCTTACCATGTTTTTGGTTGTCCTTCCACTCGCCCACATAATAATCTCCATTCACAGCATACACCTTGTGCCGCAGTCCATTCCTAAGAGTCTTCTGGTCCCATTCCTTCCACAGTGGCTCTGACTTTTTTGGACATTTGGTGACTGGCATGTTGGCTGTTTCTGTGGGGCCAGAGGGTGCTGGCAGAAAGGTAAGAACATGAGGAGCTGAGTGTATCCCGCGGAATGCTGGGATCCTGTGGGCTTCATGGAGAGGTGGCTGGGTTCAAGTGGGGTGAGTCCTGTGGGTGAGTCATGCATGTTCTGAGTCCCTGGGCCAGATGATCAGACCTGGGTGGGAATCCTTTTGTGCTGGACTGATGATGATGATGACCCTGGCCTGGCCCTATCCTTGCCTGTTCCTGGGGCCTCTGTGCCAGGGGTCTGATGGCACAATTGCTTAGGAACCCGGGGAAACCAGAAGGAACCCAGGGTTTATGATGGCATTGGGGAGAAGCTGGTTCCATAGTTTCATGTTGGCTGTCTAGAATGAATGATAAATCTAGGGGCTGGCTCCAAGTCTGGAAGAGCTCAGGGAGAAGGACTGGGGGTTGAGTGAGGGTGTGGCCCTGTCTGTCTAAGGGCTGCCTTGTGCTGTGGCCCACTTGGGCCTACCTCACCTGTCTAGTGATAAAGCTTAGAGACTGCCTTGGGGGTGGGAGGGTATTGTAGCTAGTAAGAGACCCTACCTTTTTTTTTTTTTTTTTTTTTTTTTGATCCTTGGGCTTGAACTCTAGGTCTGGGCACTGTCCTTGACCTTTTCCCTCAAGGCTAGTTAGTACTCTACCACCTTGAGCCACATCTCCATTTCTGGTTTTCTGGTGGTTCATTGGAGAAAAGGGTCTCATGGACTTTCTTGCAGGACTTGCTTCGAACCACAATCCTCTGATCTCAGCCTCTTGAGTAGCTAGGATTACAGGTATGAGCCAACAGCGCCCAGCTTGAGCCCACCAAGTAAAGAGACTGCCTCAAGGGTGATTAGCAGTCCTGGTTCTCCAGGACTGACTGCAGGGTTTCCTAGGACCTCAGATGCTCAATGCGAAACTGAAGCAGTCTGGGAAGACTGTGACTGTTAGTCATACTTCTTCCTGTCCCTGGTTTGGTTTCTCCACTGGATCTGGCTTTCCTGCCTGTGGAATTGCAGAGGCATGCAGGGTGATTCAGGATTTCCCCCCAGTGTCTGCATTCATCGATCCCCAGACCTCCTGTGCACAGCACACCTTCATGTCCATCTGTGTGTCTTCATGGAGTGACAACAGTCCTCTCCAAATCCTGGGTATCCTGTCCCCCCCACCCTCCACTCAATAAATATAACTTTTAGCTAGGCACCAGTGGCTCACGCCTGTAATCCTAGCTACTCATGAGGCTGAGATCTGAGGATCATGGTTCAAAACCAGCCCTGGGAGAAAAGTCTGTAAGACTTTTTTTTTTTTTTTTTTGGGGGGGGGGCCTGGTCATGTGGCCTGAACTCTGGGCCTGGGCGCTGTCCCTCAGCTCTTCAGCTCAAGGCTAGCGCTCTACCACTTGAGGAACAGCGCCACTTCTGGCTTTTTCTTTTTGCTTATATGGTGCTGAGGAATCGAACCCAGGGCCTCATGCATGCAAGGCAAGCGCTCTACCACTGAGCCACCTTCCCAGCCCCTGTAAGACTCTTATCTCTAATTAACCACCAGAAAACCGAAAATGGCGCTGTGGCTCAAGTGATAGAATGCTAGTCTTGAGCTGAAGAGCTGAGGGACAGTGCTCAGGCCCAGAATTCAAGCCTCACCACTGACAAAAAATAAACTAAACAATAAAACATTTATTTATTTGTTGTTGATTTTTCTTTTTTTGTCGGTCGTGGGCCTGAACTCTGGGCCTGGCCACTGTCCCTCAGCTCGTCAGCTCAAAGCTAGTGCTCTACCACTTGAGCTACAGCGCCATTTCCAGCCTTTTCTGTTTTATGTGGTGCTGAGGAATCGAACCCAGGGCCTCATGCATGCAAAGCAAGCACTCTACCACTGAGCCACCTTCCCAGCCCCTGATTTTTTTTTTATTTTTTATTTTTATTGTCAGTGGTGAGGCTTGAACTCATGGGCTGGACCTTGTCCCTGAGCACTTTTGCCAAAAGAGGCGCTATGGCTCAAGTGGTAGAGTGCCATCCTTGAGGAAAAGAAGATCAGTGTCAGTGCACAGGCCCTGAGTTCAAGCCCCAGAACTGGAAATAAATAAATGAATGAATGAATAAATTTGCAGTCTCTGTTCAGGTCAATAGCTCAGTGACTTAGCATCTGCAAAGTCCCAGCGTCATTTAAAAAGGGCCCAGGACCGACCAAAAAAAAAAAAAAGTTATCAGTCTGAATTCTCTTAACAATTCCACTTTGGCCAGTCCTGGCTGCTTGAACTCGGCCTGGGCACTGTCCCTGAGCTTCTTTTTGCTTTACCACTGGTGCACCACTTCCGGCTTTCTCTGTTCGTGTGATGCTGAGGAATCGAACCCAGGGCCTACATGCATGTGAGGCGAGCACTCTACCACTGAGTCACCTTCCCAGCCCCGAGACTGCAAACTTTCTATGATGTCACTGCTGCTCCTAGGTTCTATCCGAGAGGAGGTTGCATCACTAGTCTAGGTACAAGAACAAAAAACAAGCAAACACAACAAAACCCCACCAAAGACAGGCGATGCTGCCCGGCAGTCTAAACAAGGAGGAGCACGGTGTCAGGGTGCGGTCGGCTCCCGGCTCCCGGCTCCCGCGTGCCCGCGCTCACCTCTAGTCGCCTGGAGCTCAGACCGGCGTTCACAGGCGCCAGGCGCCGCGTCCCGCCCGGCCGGGGTCGCTATGGCAACGCGCCGCCACCGCACCGCCAGCCCGCGGCGCCCGCCCCTTCCTGCGCAGAGCCCCTGGCGGGAAATTTCCCGGAGGAGCCGTGTCACCTGGACGCTGAGGTCTGGTCGGGGTCTCCGCCCTCGGGGGCGCGCGCGAGCCGAGGACTTCTGCACCCGTGTCCTCTAGGGCTCCTGGGCAGCTCCTCTCCCCCCTCACCATTGCACAATTCAGGTAATACCTTTCTCTTTGGACCATGTCACCCCTTCCTTTGCTCTCTCTGAGTTTTCCCCCCATGTCACCCCTTCCTTTGCTCTCCCTCAGTTTCCCTCCCCCCCCTTCCAGTTCTTTGCTGGCTAATTAGAGATACAAGTCTCAACGGACTTCAAACCAAGATCCTCAGCTCTCAGCCTCCTGTGTAGTTAGGATTACAAGCATGAGCCACTGGCCTCTAGACTGCTCCCCACATTGATCACATCAGGTATGATGAATTCGTGTCCACCCCCCATCTTCATGTGTCCGTCACTTTTCTCGATCTGCGGTCGACTTTCTCATGCTCACTGGAGAATGAGTCACCCTTTATGTCACTGGAGTTCCCGACTCTCGCAGGAGTCTGCCCTCTCTAGGCTCTGAAGTCCTCCTCTGGCCAGTCCACCTCTGCTGTTGACATTGGTTTTCCCAGGATATTTTCCTCTTCCCCTCAGGCACCTGGCCAGCAGCCTCAGTCAGCCTTTACCCTGGTACAGACTGTCCCCTGGCCCGTGGCCCCGTCCAGAGTCACCCTGCCACCTGCTGAGTGGCATCTTGTGGTCTAGAACCTCATTCTCCCTAGGTCTAGCTGTGCTCCAACCCCAAGCCCCAGTTCCTCACTGCAAGTAGCAATTTTCCAGGCCCTCATCAGATCCTGGCCCAAGAGAAACCAAGACAGAATGTAGGCAGTGGCTTATCTATTTATCTGCTGCTCACTGGCAGCTGGCAATGAGATACAAGCATATGGCATTCTTCTCTCCCTAGGATCAGTCTTGTGAAATTTTTCACAAGCCTTTGAATAGGTGGCTTTGGCCTGGCTACTCCCCAGCACATCACCTTTGGGAGTTTGTGTGTGCTCCAAGTAATCTTCTAATAGTCATCTGGAGGATCGATCAGATTTTCATCCCTTTTCTCACCTCGGGTTGAAGGGAATTTCTCTGTGGGGTGACCAGGACTCCTCCACAGGCCTGCTTACAAATGGGGGGAGTGTGATCCTGTCCACATTTTCTGGCCCCAAACTTTGGCTCCACCTGGGCAAAGAATCCCAGCACTTTCTCCAGTGCCTGCTGAATTGTCCATCCATACAGGAATTCATCCACAGAGCACAGTCTAGAATAAATCCAGTGGTCTAGAGTTATAATCATAGCTACTCAGGAGGGTGAGACCTGAGGATCCCAGTTTGAACCCAGCCTGGGCAGGGGAATCCTGTGACACTTGTATCTTCAATGAACCAGCAAAGATCCAGAAGTGAAGCTGTGACTCATTTGGTAGATAGGTACAGATGCAGCCTTGAGGGAAGAAAAAAACAAAAAAAAGTAAAAAAAAGTTGAGGGATAGCATCCAGGCTCTGAGTTTAAGCCCCAATACTGGTACAGAAAAATAAAGTAAAATTAAGTGAAATTTAAAAACCAAGAATGGAGCCACCTGGAGCATAGCAGCCGGGGTCTCCATCTTCTATAAGTGCCTAAAGAATCCACCTGTCTGAAACAGCAAGTCTCCATTGCATACAATTGACAAAGGTGGACACAGCCCAAGTATCCATCATCAGATGAATGAGTGAACAAAACAGTCTCTGTGCTCAATGGGATATTATTTGGCAACAAAAAGGAATGAATTATTGATACATGCATGTTTCAACATGGGTAAACTTTTGGGGGGGGGGGGCTTGGGGCTTGAACTCCGGGCCTGGGCACTGTCCCTGAGCCTCTCTATGCTCAAGGCTAGTGCTCTATCACTTGAGGCCACTTCCAGTTTTTTGTGTTTTTTTTTTTTCTGAGTAGTTTATGGGAGTTAAGAGTATCACAGACTTTCCTACCCAGGCTGGCTTCAAACTGTGATCCTCAGATCTCACTCTCTCAAGTAGCTGGAATTACAGGCTTGAGCTACTGGCACCAAGCAACATGCATAAAGTTTGAAACAAGCCAGACAGAAAGGCCACTAATCATATGATTCCACATATATGAAATGTCCAGAATAGGCAAATCCTTAGAAACAATAAATTAGTGGTTGACAGTAGGAGAGAAGAGTAATAACCAGGGGGTGTATGGATTTGGGGAGGAGGGTGATAAAAATTGCTCAGATTGTGATGATGGTTGTAAATGTCTGTGTGGCAACTTCGATTAAAAACTATTCAGTTGTAGACTTTCAATGATCCCAGTTTTTATAATGTGTGAATGGTATCCCAATAAAACAACTGTTAGTTTCCTGTGCAGAATGAGCGCCCTCTAGGCCTCCCCACGTGTCTAGATCACAGGCCAGGAGGTTTGATTTTGAGACATCTGTGGAAAATGAAACACCAAAAAGGGTAACTCAAAAGTTTTAACTTCTATTCCCCTCCTCCTTTCTTGCTAGGGATGGAACCCAGAACCTTGAGAATGCCACATT